ACTTACATTATGATTCATAGGTAAAGGTAAAGGTTTTTCCCTGACATGAAGTGCAGTCGTGTCCGACTCTGGGATGTCGTTCTCATCTCCATTTCTGAGCTGAAGAGCCAGCGTTGTCCATAGACACCCCCAAGGTCATGTGGCCGGCATGACTGCATGAAGCTCCGTTACCTTCCCGCTGGAGCGGTACCTATTAATCTATTCACATTTGCATGTTTCAAACTTCTAGGTTGGCAGAAGCTGGGGCTGACAGCAGAAGCTCACACCGCTCCCAGGATTCGAACCTGCGACCTTTTGGTCAACAAGCTCAGCAGCTCAGCAGTTTAACCCACTGCGCCACCGGGGACTCCATTATGATTCATAACAGTAGCAAAATTACAGTTATGAAGTAGCAACTAAAATAATTTTATGTTTGGCAGTCACCGCAGCATGAGGAACTATATTAAGGGGTCACGGCATTAGGAAGGTTGAGAAACACTGCTCTAAGGGCCACAGATCCTGCACTTCCCAGTATGCTCAAGAAAAAATAACCCACTGCAGCTTCCCTTATCGATGCTTATTTTGACCACAGTCTAATGTTGCTTGATCATATCTATCCTGGTGTTCATCTGTGAAACATTGGAAGATACAAGATTTGTGTTTTGAGTAACAAAGCCAATCTCTTTTCAGGAGACAATACAATGTTGACTTGTTTGTTTCCAACCAAAATGAGCTGTATCCTGCAATCTCTTCATCAACATTTTAAGGCAGATGATAGCAATAGCTTAATAGGGAGAAAACCAAACATAAACTCTATGTAAACTCTATGTAAACTCAGATTTAAAAGAAATGCATAAAACCACTGCAAACATCAGATTAAAAAGAAAGGCGGAAAGTGATTATAACATTCCCAGTCAAAGCAGCTGCCATGTTCCTGGCTATTAGGAAATGTGAACTCTTTTGGACTGCACAGGGTGGAGAAAGGTTTACAAGGCAAAGGATCCAGATAGAAGTCTGAAGATAGAAGCCTTAAAGCAGCAGCACTTGTGTTGGCCTCACACTCTGACAGAGGTGGGGTTGTGATTTATGTGTGTAAGAAATTTGTGTGAATCCTAGCAACATTTAAAACCAGTTCCTATTTCAATCCTATTTATAGCTGAAGTTTCAAGAGATCTAAACCAGTGTTAGATATAGTATTTCTAGGAGCTGGTGGACGGTTCCCCTCCCCTGAACTTTCTTTATATTGTTGTACACCAGTTTAAAGAATTCCACTGATGACATGCAGAACGGCCTTGGAAAAACAAGAGAAGCTTGTTCTCTTTTCCCATAATCTTATCAGTCCAACCATAACATTAAATAATCCAGTCCTGGGGAATGCAAAAGCATAAATACAAGAGGTTTGAAAACTAGCAAGGCAGAAAAGGCAGGCTACAGACAGCAAGGAAAAGAAATAGTTGTTTCAGTAGGGAAATGGCATCAAGGGGATTATGGAAAATCTATACTTGCATTATATTTTTAAAACTAGAAGTTATCTAATACTGACTTTATTCTAATGATTTAACTCTTTTCATCCATATTACTGTACATGCATTTCAATTTATCCAATTAAGGTTGTCTGAACTTAATCTATCAATTTACACAGTTTGACACTACAAACTCAATGGCTCAGTGTGATGGGATCTTGGGATTTGTAGTTTGGTGAGGCACCAGAACTCTTTGGCAGAGAAACCTAAAGACCTTGTAAAACTACAACATCCATGATTTCATTGAGCAGCAATTACAAGGGATGAATTGTCGAAGGCTTTCATGGCTGGAATCACTGGGTTGCTGTGAGTTTTCCAGGCTGTATGGCCGTAACCCAGAAGCATTTTCTCTTGATGTTTCACCTGCATCTATGGCAGGCATCCTCAGAGGTTGTGGAGGTGTGTTGGAAACTAGGAAAATGGGGTTTATATATCTGTGGAAAATCCAGCGTGGGAGAAATAATTCTTGTCAGTTTGAGGCAGATTTGAATGTTGCAACTGGCCACCTTGATTAGTATTTAATGGCCTTGCAGTTTTGAAGCCTGGCTGCTTACTGCCTGGGGGAATCCTCTGTTTGGAGGTGATTAGCTGGCCCTGATTGTTTCTTGTCTGGAATTCTTTGTTTTTGAGTGTGGTTCTTTATTTACTGTTATGATTTTAGAATTTTTTAATACTGGTAGCCAGATTTTGTTCATTTTCATGGTTTCCTCCTTTCTGTTCAAATTGTCCACATGCTTGTCCACATGCATTACAAGTGATGTCTATTTATAATTAGTGTCTTCCCATTTTTAATACGTATGCATATATCTGCAGTCTTTAGGACATAACAAAATCCCTGCTGCTCCAAGAGAAAAGAGAAATGACAATATGCTTCATAACACCATGTAAAAGGGAGTCCTCTTAAGACCACTGTTACTTAAGGTAGTGACATCGGGCCTAATGCTAGTGAGTCATCTGCTTCTGATTCCCAGTGAGTTTCTGGGAAATTAACAAAAAGCCACTGGGCAAAAACATGATACCAGTTCCTGACACATTGGAGGAGAAATGCCAGTCCTTACATAAAATAGGATGGAAAGCACAGCACTTACCTTCAGTGTCAACAATTACCCAGCTCCGCCACTGGATGTCAGACCTCCGACAAAAAATTGCAGCAGTGATGAGAAAAGGTGAAGAAAATGAGGTAGAATGAAAAGAGACAAGAAATAGGCAGTCCATGTATTTCATTCCCTGCCCAATACAACAACCTGCTAGTAAGTTTTAGAAGCCATAATAGCTGCTAATACAAACAACCGTCTTGCGGTACCTTAAGGGCTAACAAAAATTATTTGGCATAAGTATTTTGGGATTGCAAGCTAAACAAGATAATGCTAAATAAAACATATCTTCACTACTTCAAGACTCACATTTTGGCTTCAAAAGACTAATAAGGCTGTCCCTCTTCAGAAAGCAAATTATGGGAAGCATATGCTTTCTGGGATGGAGGAGCAACAGCTCTGTGACTACCTTGAAGGAATTGAGTACAAAAACAGAGGGCAAATAGTACCAGTTTTGCTTTATGGCCATTTATGCCAGACCATACATTTTTTATCTCTGTTTATATGTGCCTTCAAGGTTCCTGTTGACTTATGGCAAACCCAAGAGTTTCACAGGGTTTTCTTAAGCAATTAATACTTAGAAGTGGTTTTGACAGTCCCCGCTTTAGATAATATAGCCTGTAGCTTCTTAATAGTCTCCGATCCAAGTATTAACCAGGGCATATCCTGGTTAGTTTAAAAAATCAAGCAGGATCTGATTCCTTTATTGTATTTAGGCCTTTATCAGTCTTGTTGTTGTGTACCTTCAAGACATTTCTGACCTTTAGCTACCCTAAGGCAAACCTGTAAAGAGTTGTTCTAGGATTTCATGACATAATGCAGTGAAAGTAGAACCATAGTGCTATGTTTGTGCAGTGTAAAAGGGTCCTAAAGTACAGTCCAATGTGTTATCTTGGAACTACACTAAAAACCAGACACACACGTTTACATACCCTCATATAATCCAGTTTAATCCAGATAACCTGGGATAAGATCCCGGAATATAGGGCCTGTCTGGAAGGGCCTATGATGTAATTGATAAGATTTGGGGCGCATCTGCACTGTATAATTAATGTAGTTTGACATCATTTTAACTGCCATGGTTGGATGCTATGGAATAATGGGGCCCTTCCAAGCATCCCTATATCCAGAATATCAAGGCAGAAAATCCCACAATATCTGCTTTGAGCTGTGTTATCTCAGGGCCTTTAGGGTCTAACGCAGGGGTTCTCAAACTAAGGCCCGGGGGCCGGATACGGCCCTCCAAGGTCATTTACCCAGTCCTTACTCAGGGTCAACCTGTCTGAAATGACTTGAAAGCACACAACAACAACAACTTTGCCGTCACACCCAGACACTATGAAGTTAAAATTAAGATGTGCTTCTCTCTTTATCTGTGCAAACCGCGGGTGCCTTTCTTAGAAGCTCCTGATTCTCAGCAACTGAGGTCAGTCCAGAATTGAACATCAACAGAACATTTATTTTACAAAGTCCTTGACAGACTTGGCACAGCTTGATGAAGTTACAAACACAAACAGTCAATTTGGGAAACCATATAGATATTTTTCTTTCCTTTTTCCTTCAGTTACCAAGTTAATTTATCCCCAATGGTAGAAAAAATCCTGGGATCTTTTACCAAGCTCCTGGAAGATGGAACAACAACAGTCCTGTCTCATCAGCCAAAAGCAGGTCCACACTTCCCATTGAAATACAAATAAGTTTATATTTGTTAAAATCGTTCGTTTTAATTATTGCATTGTTTCTAAGTGTTTTTTTCACGACAAATAAGATATGTGCCGTGTGCATAGGAATTCATTCATGCTTTTTTCAAATTATAATCCGGCCCTCCAACAGTTTGAGGGACTGTGACCTGGCCCTCTGTTTAAAAGGTTTGAGGACCCCTGGTCTAACCCATTGTGCCACCTGAGGCGCTGAAGAAATGTGGACTTTTAATGTCAGCTTGCAGCAGAATGTCTGCAGTAAACTAAACTAAACTGGGAAAGACATCTGATCTTTCCACTGCCCTGTGTGTTATCTCACAACCAGTAAGGTAAACAGCAGCTGCCCTCAGAATCCCTATCAGCAAAATAGAATGCCTTCCTCACAGCTTTATATCAAGGCAGACAATCCCACAATATTTATCTTCTTTGAACTGGGCTGAGACCACACTCAGATAATGTGGGATTTTCTGGCTACAGGTTGTGCATGCCTAGCAGCCTTGTGGTCTGTTCTCACTTGAAGGGTTAATACCAGCGAGACGGAGCTGGCGGGTAAAGGGAAGGGCGGAGATAGCCAAGGAAACATCCTCTGTGGAGGGGGACGGAGGGAGGGCCTCCGCGCATGCGCCTGCGCGGACGGCAGCGCGCTCGCGGACCGGAAGTGAGTCCGAAGGACTCACTTCCGGTCCGCGAGCGCGCTGCCGCCCGCGCAGGCGCATGCGCGGAGGCCCTCACCCACCCACCCACCCACCTCGGAGGGTGTTTCCTTGGCTTCCCAGGCCCTGAGGTTGGCGCGCCTTCCGGAGGCGCCTCAGTTCCCCCGTCGGAGCCTTCCCCCGGGGCTGCTTTCGGTGAGAGCTCCGAAGAAGGGAGATAGAATGGAGTCCTGACCGTTTATACATAAATATCAATAGATATCTATGGGCGAGGAAGGACAGTGAGTGTGAGGGAAGGTCTACGTTTGTGAGGAGTCGCCTCCCGCGCTTCACGCTCCTCTCCTTCGCCCTCTTTGTCTTTTCCCTCCTTTTTTTAATTAGGCGGGATTGTCCGTTTATATCCCATTTGGATATTAGTCTCTCTGTGCCCGCCGTTATTCTAGGATTGTGTGGGTGGGTGTGTTTGGGGAACGCCATCGAAGCACCATCTTTTCCATTTAATTGTATGTCTGTTGCAAGCTGATTGGGATAAGGCCCTTCCTCACAGCCATATAACCCAGAATATCAAGGTTAATAATCCACAATATCTGGACTATATGGCAGGGTGGACTCATAATCCAATTCAAAGCAGATATGGTGGATTATCAACCTTGATATTCTGGGTTATATTGAAGAGAGATATTGACAAGCTGGAATGTGTCCAGAGAAGGGTGACTAAAATGATCAAGGGTCTGGAGAACAAGCCCTATGAGGAGCGGCTTAAAGAGCTGGGCATGTTTACCCTGAAGAAGAGAAAGCTGAGAGGAGAGATGAATTTTTTTTTTTTTTTGGTCGTGTCAGGAGTGACTCCTGTTGTGAGAGAATTGGCCGTCTGCAAGGATGTTGCCCAGGGGACGCCTGGATGATTTGATGTTTTTATCATCCTTGTGGGAGGCTTCTCTCATGTCCCCGCATGAGGAGCTGGAGCTGATAGAGGGAGCTCATCCGCCTCTCCCCGGATTCGAACCTGTGACCTGTGGGTCTTCAGTCCTGCCGGCACAGGGCTTTAACCCACTGTGCCACCGGGGGCTCCATTGATATATGATAGCCATGTATAAATATGTGGGGGGAAGTCATAGGAAGCGGGCATGTTTTCTTCTGTTCTGGAGACCAGGACGTGGAACAATGGCTTAAAACTACAGGAAAGGCGATTCCATCTGAAAATTAGGAAGAACTTCCTGACTGTGAGAGCTGTTTAGCAGTGGAACTCTCTGCTCTGGAGTGTGGTGGCGGCTCCTTCTTTGGAGGCTTTTAAACAGAGGCTGGATGGCCACCTGTCGGGGGTGCGTTGAATGCCATTTTTGGCAGGGGGTTGGACAGGATGGCCCATGAGGTCTCTTCCAACTATGATTCTAAGGGCCTCATGCACTATGAGGAGCGGCTTAAAGAGTTGAGCATGTTTAACCTCCAGAAGAGAAGGTTGACAGGAGACATGATAGCCATGTATAAAGTTGTGAAAGGATGTCATAAGGAAGAGGGACCAGGGTTGTTTTCTTCTGACCTGGAAGAATGGGTTCAAATGACAGGAAAGGAGATTGAACATTAGGAAGAACTTTGTGACGGTAGGAGCTGTTCAATAGTGGAACTCTCTGCCTCTAAGTGTGGTGGAAGGTCCTTCCTAGGAAACTTTTCAACAGAGGGATACTTATGGCCCTTCCACACAGCCAGATAACCCAGATTGTCAAGACAGAATAACCACTATCTGTTTTGAATTGGGGACCCTTCCACACAGCTCTATATTCCAGAATATCAAGGCAGAAAATCCCACAGATCAGTTGTGGGATTTTCTGCCTTAATATTCAGGGATATAGGGCTGTGTGGAAGGGCCCTGGATTATCTGAATCCACACTGCCATATATTCCGGCAGATAATGTGGGATTTTATTCAGCTGTGCAGAAGAGGCCTTTGGTTGTGTTTTCTTGCATGGCAGGGGGTTGGACTAGTTGGCCCATGTGGTCTCTTCCAACTCTATTATTCTATGATTCTGTTGTTTTCCTTTTAAGACTGAGAGGCTGGGACCCACATAACCCAAGGTCACCCCATGAGTTTCTTTGCCTCATGACGAATTTGAACCCTCATTTCCCAGGCTCTTTCTACACTACCAAATAAAATCCAGATCATCTGCTTTGAACTGAATTATATGGCAGTGTAGAAGGGGCCCCAGACTCTTAGGGTGCACCTCATACTGTGGAATGAATGCAGTTTGACACCACTTTAATTGCCTTAAAACAATGATATGGTATCATAGCAGTTTGGTAAGACACTGGCACTCTTTGGCAGAGAAAGCTAAAGAGATTTGAAGCTACAACTCCCATGAATCTGCTTGGGAGAGGCATTACTTGGTGACACAGTGGTACTCTTATGTATAGTTAGGGCCCTTCCAGACAGGCCCTATATTCCAGGATCTGATCCCAGGTTTTCTGTTTATCCCAGATTATCTGACAGTGCTGATTCATATAATCCAGTTTAAAACAGAAAACCTGGAATATTGAGCCTGTCTGGAAGGGCCCTCAGAGGCACATTCTTCTTTCATATGATTACATACATTCTAGGGCTGAGCTCTGGCTGTTGCCTGCCTTCAAGTCATTTCTTAATTAGGGTGTTTTTTCTTTAAAAAAAGTTTAGCCTTTGCTTTCTTTGGAGGCAGAGAGCATGTGACTTGCCCAAGGTCATATAATAGATATCTATGGCTGAGTGGGGATTTGAAACCTAGCCTTCCAGTGTCTTCCGGGGCACCTACATTGTAGAAGTAGTGCAGTTTGATGCACTTTAACTGTCATAGCTCAATGCTATGGAATTATGGAGGTTGAAGTTTTACAAAAAATTTGGCCCTATCTCACTAAATTACAACTCCCATGATTCCATAGCATTGAGCTATGGCAGTTAAAGTAGTGTCAAACTGCATTAATTCTACAGTGTAGGTACTCCCCAAGTTGCTGAACCTATTTTGAAGGAAGGCTTCAGTACCCTGGACAGCTTATTCAAAATTCATTTTCAAGCCCAGATCTAATTTAAGAATCCTCTGATGTGGAAGCTACTGGTTACCACTGTGATGGTGGGATTATAATGTAATGGATTACTGACACAGGTTGGAAAAATTACTTTTGGGATTACAACTCTAAGAGTCACATAGCACATCAAGACTTGAAACAGAAGTAGGGAACTTCTTGCTGTCTAGTTCTTTGGTATTACAGTTCCCCATAGCCACATGGTAGCATGGCTCATGATAAAATTGTACAAGGAATAATCTAAAATAGAACTACTGAAAGTGGTAGTCCTTGACCCAGAACTGATCCATGAGCCACAGTCAGATACTCCCTGACAGATTTCCAGAAAAGAAAGAAAACATTGTACCCAATGGGCACAAATTGGCACTTTAGAAGAAATTAATTGCTGCTCTGCCTCTTTAGATAACCTGAAAAGCACAGTTCTGGTACCTTTGGAGGGTTAAAAGTCTACATCCCTAGGTATTAAGCTTATCTTTGGAAATGGTCAAGGAATGCATTAGCAAATGCATCCAAAAGAGTTTGCAGTGACACCATGAACACAAAAGTTAAAAGATCTGAGTACAGATATCTTACTCCATAATCCTAGATGCCTGGCCTGAGGGTGGTTTTTTAGTAGTTCTAATGCCACACATAACGAAGTGGAATTTTATTTTGTATGCTGGATGATATTTATTTACTCTATTTTTATCCCACCTTTTTCTGCCTCAAAGGGGTTCAAGGCGGCTTTACATATGGCAACTATTCAATGCCTTTGGACAACAAACAGTTATAATACACTTAAGTTAAAATCAAATGCACATTAAAACATATAGAACATTTCATTCACTATTAAAATCACGCCATCCTCAAGTCATAATCCGGGGCCATTCCAAAGATCAATTGCATATATTTCGAGGCTATTATTGCACTATAGATTAATCTCTTGACCCCAGAGCCAGGTTTATGCCAGAAGGGTCTGATGCCAATAAGAAAGTTGTTATTTTTATTTCTTTAATAATTAGTTGTAATGCACTGTACTGCTCAGCTTTGGCAGCAATTTACACAAGCCCTTTTTCTTTGCCTCTCCCCCTGCCCCAGATGGTGATGGAAAAGAAATGATACATGCGTAGAGTCTGAAGAAAAGTTATTGAGGAAAAGGATTGGACGGAATCTGAAGATCCTAAAATCACAGCAGCTGACTTGGGGCAGGTGGCCAAAGAAGTTATATCACTCTCTGTGTCCAACCATAAGCAGCTCAATTGGAGGAGAGGTGGGTCAAGGTGGGTGATTGTTTATCCTTCAGCGCAACCTTCTGAAACCATGGGAGAGAAGTCCCACAACTGCCCCTACTGTGGGAAAGGTTTCCGGCGCAACTCACATCTGACGCGCCACCTTGCCACTCACTCTGGGCTTCAGCGTCCCTTAGGTGGGAAACGCCTTGGGCAGCAGGTGCCAGAAGAAGACCGCCCATACCCCTGTAATTTTTGCGGGAAGACATTTGCCCGCAGTGCCCACCTAGCCCGGCACCAGGAAACCCATTCAGGGGAGCGGCCGTACAAATGCACCTATTGTGGGAAGGCCTTTGGTCGTAATTCCCACCTCACTCGCCACCATAGCACTCACACTGGAGAGCGGCCATATGAGTGTGGGGTTTGTGGCAAAGCTTTCACCCGCAGTGCCCATGTCACCCGCCACCAGGGCACTCACACTGGGGAGCGGCCTTTCCGCTGCACTCACTGCGGGAAGCGCTTCACCCGCAGCGCTCATCTCCAGCGCCACCAGGGCATCCACAGTGGAGACAAACCCTTCAATTGCCGGGACTGTGGGAAAGGCTTCACCCGGAATGCCCACCTGGAGCGCCACCGTGCTACTCACTCAGGCGAAAAGCCCTTTAAGTGTGCCAGCTGTGGAAAAGGATTTGGGGCTGCCTCTCATCTTGTAAGGCACCAGCGGACCCATAAAGTTTAGTTGGTTAGGATTTCTTCTATCTCCACCCAAACCAGGAGCAGAAATGGCCAGTATAGGATACTTCAGAGTGCTTTCATCTTCGTGCCAAGATGGCTGTTTTCCACTTTCTTCTCCAGTCTACAATGCCTAGATGTTTAGCTCATTGCCATTTATGAGAGAACTCTGTAACACACTTGGTGATGTTTTCACATGGTCTACAGGGAGACCAATCGTATCAAGTTCTCCCATTCAGTTCAGCACTTGCAAAGACATTTTAGATGCTGGGACAATAGACTCATGCCTGCTCCTTTCTTCCCAGATGGGAAAGCATAAATACTAAACTTGCATAACGCTATCTGTCTTTGTGTGTGCAAAGTATTACATGTGAAGGCTTGCTTTTGTAGTCTTAAATTTTCTGCCAGGAAAGATGCCACACTGAATCTCAGACAAGAAAACCTCTCTGGAACCCCTGCAAGATGTGTCGAATTCTTCATTCCCCTCCAGCATCACTCTGTGTGTGGTTGTGTTATAAATACATCAGTGAAGATCAAACCTTTTTTTCCTGGCAGTTCTCACTGAATGAACGTAGAATAGCTTTTCCTTTGACTTGAAACCCTGGGGTTGAGGAAATGTCGGTTATCACATACTTACATTTCCTTGCATTTCCCAATGAGATGGTGTGGGCACGTAGAGATGCTTTGTCTGCATCTTGAAAATTTCAGCACTCTGTAACTAGAAGGGACTATATATTGTTATTTTGAAGTTAACTCTTCCGTGCCATGGCTAGCCTGCATATTGCCATACAGTCTTCTACAGTAGTCATCAATAGACTGTTCCAGTGCAAAGTGCTTCTGTTCTCTGTGTTCCAGCCAGCCATGCTTTCTTTTGGGAAACCATTCCATCTCCCTAGTTTTTGGCCCTCACCTCTGCATTCTCTGGCTACTGACCAGGTTTTGTCCTAATTGAGCTCTTTGAGGGTGTAGGCAGACAAATATGCTCCTTGACATTTTTAGATCTAAAGATTATTTCTCCTTTTGGAAACTTGGGGGTTTCACTGAACATGCAGATAATCTCTTTTTTCTATCTCACTGGCCTTGTTTTGGTTGTAATTCAGCCCTTAAGTTTGTTATCACTAAAAGTAGTCATTTATGCTCACAACCATCCAGTAGAGCACTGAATAATTTGCAGATGAGGAACCAAGGAAGAGGTAGTGATGTTTTTTACATCATCTTTTATGTGAGGCTCAGCAGACGTCTTGAAAAACTCTTGTATCTTGCAAGCTGTTTTGTGTCTCACAAGCCTTCAGCCCCCTTAGTGAATTTTAGCCGTCCCTGCCCTCCCCCTCTTTTTACAAAAATAGTGATGGATATAATTAAACTGATATGCTTCACAGTGACATAACTCCAGTGTGATGTAGAAATAGTTTCAGAAATGACATCCTGAATTTGTTGCTTTTTATTTTTAGATGTCTTTTAAAAATATAACTTCTGTTCAATTTTAGAGTGGGATGTGTGGGTGTAGAGACAATATTATAAATGATACCGTCATCTGTCTTGGCCTAAAACATTCAGGATATTTTCTTCAAAAGATAACTGATGGGACAGTCAAAGTGTTATGTAAAGTATTAAAGCTGTATCATGGACTGCTCTGTAGCACACAAAAGCTGATGTGCCTAGCGGTTGCTATTGTTATTTTAAAGTACATGAAACAGTATTTTCACTCTTGTAAGGCACCAGCGGACCCTAGCAGTTGCTATTGTTATTTTAAAGTACATGAAACAGTATTTTCACTCACACTTGTGGCCCAGGGAAATACTCGTTTGGTTTGCTGTGTTCCTGGAATTTTACCTAAATGATGTATGCCAGTACTTCATTCCCTGTGACTCTTACATAAGACTTCCTTCTTCAGTTTTGTAGCTGTTTGACACAATTCAACTCTTCAAAAATAATGACTACACAAAGGCTTGGCCATGTTTTTTTTAGACCAAGGCCCAGACAGAGATCACCTACCATGCCACTAACCAAGTTAAATATGGCATTTGGCTTTGGCAGCAACCTTGTGTACATAGCATGTATGGATTTTAGTCTGGGCTCCTTGAAATCAGGGAAATGAAATTACTCAGAATGACTGCAACTGGAGCAGAAAGAATAATAAAAGATTTTGTTTCGAGAAGAAAAGGAAATGAGACTAATCAGAGCCAAGGACTTACTGCTGTCTTCAGAAACATCCCTCCATTGGTTGTAGTAGAACATAATGTGTTTTATAACAATTTTTCCAGTTCTCTGAATAACCATCTTCTGATTTATTTTTTTTAAGCTTGAGTGTGTCATAAAAAAGAGAACGGCAAGATCCATCCAGCATTCTTTTCTCTCTGAGATTTCTGAACTCCTTGTTACAAATTGAGGAACCATTTCTCATACACCAGAATGCCCTCTTGGTGGCATCTTGATCTAATACAACAGACATGGAATCCTTGAAAAGAATACCAAGAATGATGGGTCGAAATCAAACTGCTAAATATTCCAGTGTCATTTTATATATTCTTCCTCTACACCTGTGTATACTGATCTTACATGCCAGCAAAGAGAGCTCGGCAGTAAGAATTTCCTTCTGCGTCTTGTGAATTTAAAACCAAGCTGAATCCAGAGTTTAATGATCTCTTTCTAAAGTGGCTACCACAGTGTGGAAGTACTGGAGCCACAAGCCTTTAATCCTTTTGTGCTGTTATTTGGTGTAGTAATGACTTGTGCTTGTTGGCTTTCTTTGCTTAGCGTTCCCAGCCATTGCTGGCAGTAGATAGTCTCCCTAATCTTAAATTGCCATTACAGCCTTTAACTGCCTCAGTGGTTCATTCTCCAAGGTCGGGCTTTGCTATTGTGAGTGGAGATTTCCCTAGTAGATTTGCCCTCCTCCCGATGATAAGATCTGAAAAGATGATAATTTCGTACTCTATTTAGACAGTGGAGCATTTAATCTCAAATCAGTTTAAACGTGCCAAAGTGAACAAGAATAGATTACTCATCAGTAGATTCAAAGTTCAGAGCATGCACTGTAACACTACTGCTTTTTAGGAGTGTTGATGTGTAAATGCATAGAAAATGAATAAAGAAATTCAGTGCCGTGCCCACCATTTGAAAGGCAGAAAATAGCCACCCTTTTGAAATAATAATGCTGTTTCTAAACTGAAGTGAAAGAATAATGGAAGAACCCACAGTAACAGAACCTGAATTTCTCCCTGCAGCCTTGTGAAGACAAATGATGGCTCTCAGGAGAGCCTTATCACACTACACTGTTAATAGTGCTATATGCCACTTTAGCTGCCATGGCAATATCCTGTAGAATTTTGGGATTTGTAGTTTAGTGAGGCCTAAGAACCAAATTATCAATGTCCCTCCTTAAATTACAAATCCATGATTCCGTTAGACGTTGCCATATCAGTTATATTGATACAATAGTGCTGTAATGGGGCAGTGTGATAAGGCTCTTAAGTCTGTCCGCTGTAATTTTGTAAGGAACAAGAGGGAAAAGGTTTACAAGTATCACTAACTTTGCGCATTTCTCCAAAAACAAAAAAGAAAAGGAAAGAAAAGCTATTTTGATCCTGAGCTCACATGGTCATTTCTATTAAGATATGTTTGCATGCATTTACAGTATTTCTGCTGTACACGGGTACTGTTTTATGACTGCTAAATGTCAGAACTCGGATTGTTACTCAGTATTCCCATTATTTGTAATGATTCGTTTTTAAGAGTAGTTTGGTATGCATAACAACACTTTTATCAGTACACTACTCTTAATATGGTTCCTGTTGAAAGATAAAGAAATTAACATTACTGGTTTCAATGCCATACTTTCAAGCTCTGCTAATTCTATGGGAAAATAGGTGGCCCTGTTTCCAATGTTGTGAGGGTTGCAAAGGTGTGTGGATTTTATAGAAAATTTAGACAAAAACTGGAAGAAAATGGAGGAGAGTGTTGTTGTTCTACAGTCTTTCTTTGTTCATTTTTTTCCATCTGGGAAAAAATGGAGAATTCTAAAGGACAACAAAGAAAAGACTCCTATGAAAACATTTCACTTGTGGAATGAGTGAAACTCTTTTGAGGTAAGTTTTTGCCCACTCAGAATGTATAGTACGAATATTTTTTATGAAAGACAATCTGCAGAGTTAAAGATATAATCCTTGTGTATATGTAGATATATAAAACACACGGTTCCCAGCAGCATTCCTGCAGATAAGGTGCTGTTGCCTTTAGGAGGGGAGCAGCCAGGGATTTTGTTTCTTGTGGATTGTTGCTTGCCTTATAGTATCAGTGTAGCGTGGAGGTAGTCATTTGAAATAAGTATCCTGAACCCATTGTCCTTTTCACAGGATCCCTTTTGGCCCAGTATGGATAACCCACTACAAAACTTATGGATTTTGTAGTTTGGGGACCGCAACCCTATACAAACATATCTGTATATAAGCTCCATGCATTTCTGTGTAAAAATGCACAGGGTTCTTCTGCAAATTTAAAAACTATGCCAAAAGTAGTAATGTTCTATTTACTAATCAAATTGCAAACCATGAGTGTCAAGTTGTTAAAGCAGTAAAATAAGTTTTAGGTTCATTAGGAAATTTTGCCTAGAAGTCCGCCCCACCCACCCCGTTCTGTGTGTATGTGCTTCTTTTTTATAGAAATGGGTTTTTCCTCCCAGGGCTTCAGAAGTTCAGGAAATGTTTCATCTCTTCTTAGAAAATCCTCATATTCACTGCACTGCAGCCCTCATGCTGGTTTGTTTCTGTGGCCTATGAATTTGGTAAGACATCAGCTGCAGGACCGAAGTGACAAATGACAAAACACATTAAAAATTCCAACATTATGTAGTGTACACAGATGATACTTTTGTAGAGCCAGAGGCAGTACAGGTTGATTATCCCATATCTGAAATGCTTAAAAGAATCATAGAATAATAGTTGGAAGAGACCACATGAGCCATCTAGTCCAACCCCTTGCCATGCAGGAAAAGTACAAAGTACCTCTGACAGATTTCCATCCAGCCTCTGTTTAAAAGCATGGGACCACAATTGTTCCATATATTGGATTTTTGAATACTTGCACGCACACAATGAGATATAGTAAAAATGACTCGAGTCTAAACAAGAAATCCATTTATGCTTCATCTACACCAGTGGTTCTCAACCTGCAGGTCCCCAGGTGTTTTGGCCTACTACTCCCAGAAATCCCAACCAGTTTACTAGCTGTTAGGATTTCTGGGAGTTGAAGGCCAAAACATCTGGGGACCCACAGGTTGAGAACCACTGATCTGCACATGGCTTGGAGGTATTTTATACACACTGTTTTAAATAATTTTGTGCTGAAATCAAGTTTGTGTAGATTGAACCATCGGAAAGCATGTGGTCAATATTGGAACATTTTGGAGTTGCAGATAATGAGTGCTCAACCTGTATTGTAACACAATAATTGGTGATGCATATTTGTTTTCTCTTGTGTTTGAAAGTAGACAGTAGTAAAAAAGTTCACATTTCAGTATACGAGTGCTTTAAGCCATCTTTGAATAAAAAACAGAAATGAGTCCCAGCAGAACTGTAATAGATATTTGTTTTTCCTACAGACTTTTTGTATGGTTGCATGCCCAAGTTGATTTTTTTGTGTGTGTTGGCAGTCACCCTCGAGTTTATGATGCCTACTCAGCCCTACTCCCTCGTGTAATTTTTTTCAGATAACCAGAATTTGTTTAAAGGATAAATGACATTATGATTGTGATTCCCTCCTGGGATGGTTACTGATGCATGTCAGAAAAGAGGAAAGCCATCACCAAAAGAGAGAGGGTCCAGATCTGGAGGTGATTATTATAATTTTAGCAGAAATACAGAATATTACTGTGGTGAGGAAAACTGGCCAAATGTTCTGTAGACCTGTTCAGCCTGCTTAATTAGTCATTTTGAGATCCCTGACGTCTTGGCCATATCATGATTTTTTTCTTTAAAATGGGCTAAACAGGCATCAAACAGAACAGTTTTTGAAAAGATAAGTCACCTTTGACAGGTTTTCTGTTACAGGACTGCTTTTTGTAAATGCCATAGCCCTATGTAGTTCTTGGTCTCACACCTGAAGCAGGTTTTATTAAGTTTTGCTTAGTATATGAGACCAATGTTTTAAAAGACAAAAAAAGTGAATTCCTTTTTGATTATTATACCTTCCTTCCCTTTAAGAAGACTGAGTCACCATCTCTTGAATCAGCCAGGCTTTGAAGCTGCAGGGCCCTTAATCCAACTGGCCAATTGCAACATTCACACTTGCCTCAAACAGACAAGAGTTCCTTCTCCCACCCTGGACATTCCACAGATATATAAACTCAATTTTCCTATGAGGATGCCTGCCATAGATGTAGGTGAAACATCAGGAGAGAATGCTTCTGGAACATGGCCATACAGCCCGGAAAACTCATAGCAACCCAGTGATTCCAGCCATGAAAGCCTTCAACAACACAGTTTCTGCATTCACACTCACAAAAGTTTGATGAATTCTCATTATAGGACCTGAACCCATAGTAGGGTGGGTTCCTATAAATCTACTTTGATGAAGAATTAGCACAATTGCTGTTAAGTGATTGTTGTGTGCCTTCAAGTCATTTGCAACTTATGGTGGCCTTCAGGATAACTATCACTTGGGGGTGAGGCCATGATTTATTTAAAAGGATTGACTTGGTTTTCCACTAGGATAAGAGATTGTGACTTGCCTCTCTCTGCATAATGACCCCCTCACCTATCCACAACTCATATCACAAACCATTAATCTGCTCTTGACTTATGCGTGAGATCAACTTATAATTGAATCTGTATATGGGAAGAATTTCCTGGACAGTGCAGTGTCTGCAGTAGTGAATTGAACCTTTCTGAAATGTTTGGAACCAGAAGTATTTTCAGTTTTGGAATTTTCTTTTTGGATTCTGGAATACATAGATTTGTACGTAAGTACATAATTGAGATATCTTCAAGATGGAAACCAAGTCTAAACATGAAAATCATTAAATATCAGAAAGCAAAAGCGTCAATATCATATAATATCAAGACAGAATAACCCAGAATATCAAGACAGAAAAATCCTACAATATCTACTTTGAACTGGGTTTTCTGAGTCCACACTGCCATATATTCCTGTTCAAAGCAGATAATGTGGGATTTTCTGTCTTGATATTCTGGGTTATATGGCTGTGTGGAAGCGCCCTGGAATTCCAAAATTCAAAATACTGTGTGGAAGGGGCCCCAGATAAGGGATGCTCAACTTATATAATTAATCTCCTTTCCACAGGTAGTGAAAGCTGAATAGGGAACCTTTGACTCTACAGATGCTTTGAATTACAGCTCCCATTATCCCCTACCCAAACCAAGAAAAAAGCCAAAGCTGCTTCATCTCTGATTTAAAGCCTATTGTACAGATGTGATAAAAAAAACCCCTAGAATTCTAGCTCTATATGCTCTCAGGAGTTTGAAAAACCTTTTCATTTAAAAACATTCATTACAGCAGTAGAAAGCTTTTATCTAAGCTGTCTGCCAGCCATGATAGTTTTCTATTTGTCAAGTATATTGGCACAGAGGTGTCTTTGAAAAGAGGCTTTCTTGGCTGTGGTGGGAATTGTCAAATCTACCCTTTTCATTCAGTTGCATGTATAGGTCAGGTCTCATTCTTCCATAATTGGACTTGGATGGATTAGTAGTTATTTCCGTTCAAATTCATCAATGTTTTTACTTGATCCACTGCTTTCTGAGAGCAATCTTGAGCTCATTACACTCAGTTTAGAGATTAGAGAGGCAGCGAGGAACAGAAGGGACAGTGTCTGTTTTGGAACGTTCTCTCTCCCCTATGTGTTCAGTTACTGGAAGGAAAATAATTTGATTTCCCACTTATGTTCCCTTCTTTAAACATCTTTCTCTGAATTCAAGCTTCCCAGTTTGGGCAGAGCCTACTTTCCAATAAGCAGACTCATAATCGAAGCATTAGTTTAATTTCCAACTTTTGATTTAATGGGTGATACCAGACAAAAGTTATCACCTCTGACTTCTATCTAATAAAATGGATGAAAATGTGTATCATTACATAGAAGGCTTCAGCAATGTGTATGTGTGTGTGGACAAACTACTTGTTCCCCTTCCTAGCCCTGGTGCCATCTCTGAGATGAACTCTGTTAAGGCACTCTTCATTGGTTCAGCTTGACCTTCCTGAATCTATCTTCAGCTTTTTAATAGGGTGGGGCAGGTTGATCTTAGTTTGCTTTTGTATTGTTTGCGGGTGGGAATATGCTGGGGTTGATTTTGAGTTCTTTTGATCTTTTTTGTTGTGGTTTTCTTTTAGTACTAATGCCATTGGGTATGCCTTAAAAGTAGTCATGATTGCTGTTGCAGCTGTATCATAGCCAAACTGAGATCTAAATATTCTACTACCATCTATATTACATTTCCAGGTATTGCCCTTGGTAACTGACTTTATTTTCCTATTGTACTAACAGTGTCTGTCTTTCCTCTGTATGAAATAAACTTTACTTTTTGGATTCTGAAATGCCTCATTTGGTGATTCATCTCAAAGAGACCGGATTCTTTCTTTTCATTTACAGCATGTTGGCATGGTCGGAGGCCTTGGGTAGCCGAAATATAAGCACAGAGGGCTACATGTAGCCCCGACCACACTTTCCCATTATAATGGGTCCTGTACTGGCAGGACTGAAGACTGACAGGTCGCAGATTCGAATCCAGGGAGAGCACAGATGAGCTCCCTCGTATCAGCTCCAGCTCCTCATGCGGGGACATGAGAGAAGCCTCCCACAAGGATGATAAAACATCAAAACATCCGGGCATCCCCTGGGCAACGTCCTTGCAGATGGCCAATTCTCTCACACCAGAAGCGACTTGCAGTTTCTCAAGTTGCTCCTGACATGACAAAAAAAGGTGCAGATAGCAGTGGGCCACCTCTTGCAGTTGGGTCAATAATATTACTCTTACAAGGATCTTCCTGAGGACGAGATTGAGAAGTGATACGATGGCCATCGTTAAATGTCTGAAAGGTCACAGAGTAGGTGGAGTGAGTTTGAGGGTTGGATCCAAACTATTTGATGCAATTTACAAGAAAGGAGTTTCCAACTAAATATCTACGAGAACTTCCTGATGCTAAAGACCTTCAACCGTGAAATGGATTCCCTCAAACGATGGTAGACTCTTCGGACCTTTAAACAGAACTTGGATGCACACCTCTCAGGTTACTTAAATGGTTAAGGGGGGGGGTGGACTACTTTTCGGGTTGGAAGGGTCCTTTGATACCCCTTCCAACACTATGACTCCTGAAAACTTCTCACACATATGTATGGAGTAGCCCTGAGATCCATAAAAGGATTGGCTTGAATAACAACTATCATTTTCAACAGTTCCTGTCTTGAGTTGGAGTAAGGTTGTGTCCAGTCTAGGGTGTCTCCAGGACTGAACACTTCGAAGGGAAATGAAATTTAGGAAATACTGGAAGGGGAAGAGATGCACACAGACAGTACACTTATATTTGGAAGTCATACTGGGGCTACTAGAAAAACTAAAACCATAATAAATAAAGAACAGCACTCAAAAATGAGAATTCCAGACAAGAAACAATCAGAGCCAGCTAACACCTCCCAGCAAAGGATCCCCCAGGCAGCAACCAGCCAAGCTTTGAAGCTGCAAGGCCATCAAATGCTAATCAAGGTGGCCAAATGCAACATTCACACTTACCTCAAACAGACAGAGTTTTTTCCCCCACCTTGTACATTCCACAGATATATAAACCTCACTTGGCTAGATTCCAACAGATCTCTCAACCTCTGAGGATGCCTGTCTTAGATGTTGACGAAACGTCAGGAGATAATGCTTCTGGACCATGGCCATACAGCCCGGACAACCCAGAGATTCCAGCCATGAAAGCCTTTGACAATGAATTGGCCACCTTGATAAGCATTCTCTCCTGGCCTTACAATTTCTCTCCTGGCCTTGCAACTTCAAAGCAACAATCTATCAGGGCCAGCTAACACCTCCCAACAGGATCCCTCAGGCAGCAACCAGTCAAGCTTTGAAGCTGCAAGGCCATTCAATGCTAATCAAGGTGGCCAAATGCCATAGACATCAGGAGAGAATGCTTGTGGAACATGGCTATACAACCCGGACAACCCAGAGATTCCGGCCATGAAAGCCTTTGTCAATAAATTGGCCACCTTGATAAGCATTTAATGGCCTTGCACCTTCAAGGCAAGGATCAATCAGGGTCAGCTAACACCTCCCACCAAAGGATCCCCCAGGCAGCAACCAGTGAAGCTTTGAAACGGCAAGGCCATTCAATGGTAATCAAGGTGGCTAAATACCATAGATGTTGGTGAAATGTCAGGAGAGAATGCTTCTGGAACATGGCCATACAGCCCGGAAAACTCACAGCAACCCAATACAAAGGAAACACTGTTTCCTTTTTATTGGGTTGCTGTAAGTTTTCCAGACTGTATGGCCATGTTCCAGACGCATTCTCTCCTGACGTTTCGCCTGCATCTCTGGCAGGTATCCTCAGAGCTTGTGAGGTCTGTCGGAAAGTAGGAAAGTGAGGTTTATACATTTGTGGAAAGTCCATGGTGAGAGCAAGAACTCTTGTCTGTTGGAGGTAGGTGTGAATGTTTCAATTGGCCACCTTGATTAATATTTAATGGCCTAGCAGTTTCAAGGTCTGGCTTTTACTGCCTGGGGGAATGCTTTGTTGGAGGGCAATTAGCTAGCCCTGGTTGTTTCTTCCAAAGTAATCTATCCACAAAGACAACAGTATGTATAGGTCAATAAGCAATAAACAGGTATGAAATAAAAACATATTGGGTAAATAAGTACAAATTTGCAAGTATAATGTTGATGCTCCATGCGTCAGAATGAGTAAAAACTAAACATCAATTTGTATTGTTGAAGGCTTTCATGGCTGGAATCACTGGGTTGTAGGTTTTTTCGGGCAATATGGCCATGTTCTAGAGGCATTCTCTCCTGACGTTTCGCCTGCATCTCACTACCTCTGAGGATGCTTGCCATAGATGCGGTGAAACGTCAGGAGAGAATGCCTCTAGAACATGGCCATATAGTCCGAAAAAACCTACAACAACCCACTAAACATAAATTTGCCACTTGTGAAATCAGTCAGTTGAACTGAATAGTCTGTAAATCACACAACTGATTTTGACCATTTAATAACACCAACAACAATAATTGATGTATTGTTTTTGCACTCCTGTATTTCTGTACCTCTGAAAAAAAACCACTGCAAAAGAGAGAGAAAGGGGTGAGCAAGACAGCACAGGACTTTGATGGTCGCATCTACACTGCTGCTTTCATGTGCTCCATCAATGTTCAACATTTACACAAATGACCAGCCACTGCCAGAAGGGAAAGAGAGTTTCATCTATGCTGATGATCATGCCATTACTGCTTGAGCTTTGAGATGGTTGAACAGAAGCTCTCCGTAGCTCTAGGTGCTCTTACTGCCTATTACAGGGGAAACCAGCTGATCCCTAATCCATCTAAAACACAGACATGTGCTTTTCACCTTAAGAACAGACAAGCACCCCGAGCTCTGAGGATTACCTGGGAAGAAATCCCACGGGAGCATTGCAGCACACCCAAATACCTAGGACCATGCTCTGGCCTACAAGAAGCACTGCCTGAATATCAAGCAAAAAGTGGGTGCTAGAAACAATATCATACAAAAGCTGACTGGCACAAACGGGGCATCACAACCAGATACAGTGAAGACAGCTGCCCTTGTGCTTTGCTGCTCTGCTGCTGAGTATGCATGCCCAGTGTGGAACACATCTTACCTAACCACACCAAAACGGTAGATGTGACTTAATGAAACATGCTGCATTATCACGGGGTGTCTGCGCTCTACACCAATGGAGAAATTACACTGTTTGGCCGATATTGCACCACCTGCCATCCGCCGGGAAGTAGCAACCAATAGTGAAAGAACATCTCCAGCTCATCCCCTGTTTGGGTATCAGCCAGCACGCCAATGACTTAAATCAAGACATAGTTTTCTAAGATCTACAGAGACACTCGCTGGAACACCCCAGCAAGCGAGAGTCCAAAAGTGGAAGGCTCAAACCCAGAACCTCAAGCAATGCTTGAATGAGAGACTCCCTCCTGGGCACACAGAAAACTGGGAGGCGCTGAACAAACTGCTCCACGAGATGCAGAGCCAACCTCAAGAAATGGGGCTACAAAGTGGAATCCACAACATGCGAGTGTGGAGAAGAGCAAACCACAGACTATCTGCTGCAATGCAACCTGAGCCCTGCCACATGCACAATGGAGGACCTTCTTATAGTAACGCCAGAGGCACTCCAAGTGGCCAGCTGCTGGTCAAAGGACATCTAATAGAATGCCAAGCTTGCAAACTTTGTGTTTTGTTTGTTTGTTAAAAAATAAAATAAATAAAATCCCTTTGATTCCCACGGCCCAGTGCGATGGAATCATGAGAAATGTGTCTTCAATGAGGTCTTTAGACTGTTGCCAAAGAGTGCTGCAGTCTCATCAAACTACCACTTCCATAGTGCCTTGGAGGTTAAAGCGGTGCCAAACTGTGTTTATTCTCCAGTGCGGACGCACCCAAAGCCGGCTTCCCTTGTCGTGGCTCTTGAGGCGCAAGAGGAGGTTCTTCTTTGGGGTTTTGTTCCGCGTGTGAAAGGGAGGCGATGCCGCTAGAGGGCTCTGGCCATTGTCAAAAAAAAGGAGACACACACACACACACAGAGAGAGAAGGGACTGCTCTCGTTTTTCTTCCCCCCTCTTTTTTTTTTTCTACCGCTGACGATTTTTGGGGGCTGAACTTCCCAGGTCAGAACCAGCGAGAAGGGAAAAGCCCTGTTGTTGTTTCGCCTGCTTGCGTTGCAGCCGACGCCGACGCCAACGCCGCCTTGGATCTCCTTTGGCTTTCCCCCCTTACCCACCCGACCCTCTTTTCTTTTTTTTTAACCCTTCTCCCTTTCTCCAAAGGGCGAGACTTTCCAACTCTTGCTCCAGCCCGGAAGCCACGGGAAAGACTTTGATTTCCAGGTAAAACTCCCGACCATTTGGGGCTTGGGCGCCCACCAAAGTCCAGCCAGGCAGCCAAGCAACTTCCTGGTTTTTTTATAAAGCGGGTGGAGGAGGAGGAGGAGGAGGAGGGATACAAATAGAAATACAAATGTATACAAAGGGAGGAGACGTCTGGCTCGGAGTCCCTGCGCGCCTTCGCCTCTGCGCCTTGCTCTTCTTGGCTCTTCTTCCCCCTCCTGGGATTGCATTCCAAACATCCGGATTGTTCCCAGGAGGATATTAATAACAGAGGTTGGAAAATAAAAATAAAAAAGGGTGGGGGGAATGGATAGCAAAGGGAGGCCTTTACAAACGTGGGGCTGACGTAGGGCCTGACGTGGAATGGGGAGGGTTGGGAGGGACTACTAGGAAACATGGACATTTCTTTCCCAAGTAAGTGCCTCAAAAGCACTGGTTCTCAACCTGTGGGTCCCCTGGTGTTTTGGCCTACAACTCCCAGTTTCTGGGAGTTGAAGGCCAAAACATCTGGAGACCCACAGGTTGAGAACCATGCTCTAAGGGAAAAGAAATACCTTGTTGCCATGGCCAAGAGGATCAGCAGGTGAAGCCTTGCCCCATTGGCCGAAGAGGGTTGTTTTTGATGCTCCTCCAGGTACAAAAGAATACTCACCTGTTGAATTTTTGGTCCCTTACTAGGGGTCCATCTACACCAGGTATGGGCAGACTTTGGCCCTCCTTTGAGATGTTATGGACTTCAACTCCCACCATTCCTAACAGCCTCAGGCTGTTTGTTGCCTAGATGGTGTTTGTTGCCTAGATGGTGCAGCATAGTGCTGATGCGCATTAAAGGCTTTCCTTTGCACACTACAGTGAGTGTTTGTTGCCTAGATGGTGCAACAAAGCGCTGATATGCATTAACAGCTTTCCTTTGCACACTACAGTGAGTGTTTGTTGCCTTGATGATTCAACAAAGCACTGATGTGCATTAAAGGCTTTCCTTTGCACACTGCAGTGAGTGTTTGTTGCCAAGATGGTGCAGCATAGTGCTGATGCGCATTAAAGGCTTTCCTTTGCACACTACAGTGAGTGTTTGTTGCCTTGATGGTGCAACAAAGCACTGATGTGCATTAACAGCTTTCCTTTGCACACTATAGTGAGTGTTTGTTGCCTTGATGGTTCAACAAAGCACTGATGTGCATTAAAGGCTTTCCTTTGCACACTGCAGTGAGTGTTTGTTGCCAAGATGGTGCAGCATAGTGCTGATGCGCATTAAAGGCTTTCCTTTGCACACTACAGTGAGTGTTTGTTGCCTTGATGGTGCAACAAAGCACTGATGTGCATTAAAGGCTTTCCTTTGCACACTGCAGTGAGTGTTTGTTGCCAAGATGGTGCAGCATAGTGCTGATGCGCATTAAAGGCTTTCCTTTGCACACTACAGTGAGTGTTTGTTGCCTTGATGGTTCAACAAAGCACTGATGTGCATTAAAGGCTTTCCTTTGCACACTGCAGTGAGTGTTTGTTGCCAAGATGGTGCAGCATAGTGCTGATGCGCATTAAAGGCTTTCCTTTGCACACTACAGTGAGTGTTTGTTGCCTTGATGGTGCAACAAAGCACTGATGTGCATTAAAGGCTTTCCTTTGCACACTGCAGTGAGTGTTTGTTGCCAAGATGGTGCAGCATAGTGCTGATGCGCATTAAAGGCTTTCCTTTGCACACTACAGTGAGTGTTTGTTGCCTTGATGGTGCAACAAAGCACTGATGTGCATTAAAGGCTTTCCTTTGCACACTGCAGTGAGTGTTTGTTGCCAAGATGGTGCAGCATAGTGCTGATGCGCATTAAAGGCTTTCCTTTGCACACTACAGTGAGTGTTTGTTGCCTTGATGGTTCAACAAAGCACTGATGTGCATTAAAGGCTTTCCTTTGCACACTGCAGTGAGTGTTTGTTGTCAAGATGGTGCAGCATAGTGCTGATGTGCATTAAAGCTTTCCTTTGCAGACTACACTGAGTGTTTGTTGCCTAGATGGTTCAACAAAGCACTGGTGTGCATTAAAGGCTTTCCTTTGCACACTACAGTGAGTGTTTGTTGTCTAGATGGTGGGAGTTTGTTGACTGGATGGTGGGAGTTGATGTCCAAGACACCAGGAGGGCTCAAGTTTGCCCATGCCTGCACTAAATGGTCAGTGTAAATTTGGCCTATACTTCAAAACCCATAGCTTGTTTGGTGGCTGGATGGTGGGAAAGACTACATCAGCTTTAAAGTATTAAAATGTTTTTCTGTGGGCGAGCAGATGGCGACTACTGGACGGCATATGTTCTGTATCAGAAACTAGAGCTGATGTGGCCCATCCCATGCAATTTTCTGAATCAGCACCCCAAATAACCAAACTGAATCTAAAGTTGACCAAAAATTGATTCATAAGCCTTTTGGTAGTAATGTTGGAGAGTGATCCCTGGTCAAAGTGGTCCCTGGTCAAAAAAAGGCTGGGAACCACTGCTGTAGAGTGTGTTTGTGACATGTCGCCTCTAAATCAGTGGGTCTCAACCTGTGGGTCTCCAGGTGTTTTGGCCTACAACTCCCAGAAATCCCAGCCAGTTTACAAGCTGTTAGGATTTCTGGGAGTTGAATGCTAAAACGTCTGGGGACACACAGGTTGAGAACCACTGCTCTAAATACTATACACTGAAGCTGCCTTCAAATTGCAATCAATGGTCAGTGTAGATGTGCCCTTAGTTGTTTAAAAGCACCTCGGGAACCTTGCCTGGGGAGGCATGAGAAGGAACAAGGCTGCAGGTTGGAACATATATCCCATCCTTCCTCACCACAGATGATGCTAGCCAGGGATGATGGGAGCTAGAGTCCCGACAATAGAAAGATTTTTCATCCCAATGAGAAGAATAGAAGCAGAGAAACCAGGATGGTTTCAGAGGGGTGTTCATCTGTGAGATCAGGAGAGAGAAGATGCTGAAGTCAAGGGGCCACATCCGCATTACAGGCCCAAGGTGACAGGGTTGGTTTTGGATGCTGAGCAGGGGACCCTTATTCTTTCAGAGGCCACAGCCTTCTGCAGAAGTGACTGATGTATTTTGCTGAGATACAGTGGGCCCTTCTGGACCCATGCCAGAGACCTGTCTACAGGGACATTGTGCAGGACAATTATGGGACTCTCCTCTCGCTAGGTAAGGACCTTTTTATTTATTTATTTTTTCTTTCTTTCTTTAAAAAAAGGAGTGCAGATTTGAGATTGCAAATTCCAGGTTCCTTTTAAAAAGAAGGAGCTCAGACTCGAGATTCCAAATCCCAGTTGGTTGAGGATCATTGCATTGATTTCTGCTGGTTTAAGAATATGCCCACTTTGGAATTACACAGAACTCTTGATCACAGGATTTCTGCGTCAACCCAGAAGAAAGCATGTTGCTACACCAGCAAAATGTGCTCTGGTAAAAACTTATCGGGACCATATGGTCCTTTGTAAGGTACTTAGAAAAGGTTCTGAAGATTAGGAAAACTCCATTCTGTTGTGGATGGAGAGATGATGGGGGTGGGGGTGGAGTTATGCACATATTTCCCATTAGTATTTGGTGGCAATTAATAAAATGAATAACTCAGGTGGAATTCCTTTAAAATTCTGCCAGTGAGACAAATGTGAGGAATTAGATCAGCATTTTTCAACCTGGGAGTCGGGACCCCTGGGGGTGTCATGAGGAGGTGTCAGAGGGGTCACCAAAGACCATCAGAAAACACAGTATTTTATGTTGGTCATGGGGGCTCTGTGTGGGAAGATTGGCCCAATTCTATCATTGGTGGGGTTCAGTATGCTCTTTGATTGTATGTGAACTATAAATCCCAGCAACTACAACTCCCAGATGTCAAGGTCTATTTGCCCCAAACTCCACCAGGGTTCACATTTCGCCATATTGAGTATTTGTGCACAGTTTGGTCAGATCCATCATTGTTTGAGTCCACAGTGCTCTCTGGATGTAGGTGAACTACAATTCCAAAGCTTAAGGTCAATGGCTACCAAATCCTTCCAGTATTTTATGTTGATCTTGGGAGTTCTGTGTGCCAAGTTTGGTTCAATTCCATTGTTAGTGGAGTTCAGAATGCTCTTTGATTGTAGGTGAACTATAAATCCCAGCAACTACAACTCCCAACTGACAAAATCAATCCCTCCCCCAACCCCACCAGTATTCAAATTTGCCGTATCGGGTATTTGTGCCAAATTTGGTCCAGTGAATGAAAATACATCCTGCATATCAGATATTTACATTACAATTTATAACGGTAGCAAAATTACAGTTATGAAGTAGCAACAAAAATAATTATATGGGTAGGGGTCACCACAACATGAGGAACTGTATTAAGGGGTCACAGCATTAGAAAGGTTGAGAAACACTGAATTAGATTAACTAGAATTGGTCTTCTCAAGGTGACAACCTCCTTCAACCCATCAATGCTCTTTGAGTTGCAACATGGGTTTAATTTTTACAATGTTTTAATTATGCTGTTTGACTCATTGTATCCGGACTAGCTAACGCCCCATAAAGAACAGAATGATCCCTAACTTTCAAGGTAAAGTATCCATTGAGACCTAAGGCATGCCTATGAAAATAATGCCACTTTCCCCCCATGCTGGCTTCACTCTCTTTCCTTTGGTAGATGGAGGAACTATGAACCCTAATCCACAGCCCGGAGGTAGCGAAGCCATGCAGACCCAGAAGCAGGTCCTGGGACGGTCCGATGGGTCTGCTTTCCCAAGCAATAGTCAAGCTGGGCAGCAAGGGGAGGATCAAGGGAAAGGATGGGCCAAACCACCTCTTCTTCCTCCAGCGCCGAAGGAAAACCCTCCTCTCCCGCCCCGGGTATACATGGGGCCCAGTTCCAGCTTGTGCGTACAATGTGGGGAGAGCCTCGCCCAGGCTCAGAATAGCCTTGTCCAGGCTCAACATAGCCTTGCCCAGGCTCAACAGAGTCTTGCCCAGGCCCAGAAAGCACCCCGCTTGACTGATAAGCTTTACCCATGTGCCGACTGTGGGAAGAGCTTTGGCGTGAGCTCCCACCTTACAATTCACCGGAGAATCCACACCGGAGAGAAACCGTACGAGTGCAGCGAGTGCGGAAAGCGATTCAGCCAGAGCTCGACCCTGGTCCTCCACCGCCGCATCCACACAGGGGAGAAGCCCTATAAGTGTGCCGATTGTGGGAAATGCTTCTCCGTGAGTTCCCACCTCACCAAGCACCAGAGAGTCCACACGGGCGAGAAGCCCTATGAGTGCCAAGCATGCGGGAAAAGGTTCAGCCAGAGCTCCACTCTTATCCTCCACCAAAGAATCCACACTGGAGAGAGGCCTTATAAATGTGACGAATGTGGGAAAACCTTCAGTGTCAGCTCCCACCTGACCATCCACCAGAGGATCCACACCGGGGAGAAACCGTACCGCTGCATGGAATGTGGGAAGTGTTTCCGACAGAGGTCCGGCCTCAGCACACATCAGAAAACCCACATGATCCTTGTGAGGCCTTACAAGTGCCCTCCTTAAGACCAGGACCTGAGCCAGCTTGCCAAGTCACATCAAACCTTTGTCTAATGATCTGAAACAACAACAGGACAGAGACTGAACACATTCAAAAGTCTCTGCTTTTGGAAATACAAAAATTTATCCTGATTTTTTTTCTGTAATGTCAAAGAAGAATGGAAAAAGACATATGGAGGCCTTAATTTGCCTTAATTTGCATGCTTTATTGTAGATCCACCTCTGGAGAAATGAGGACTTTTGTTCAACATGTTTGTGGTTATAGTTTAGAAGATGGGTGTAAGGATCCTTGACACAACAACAGTTGATAGGCGCGTGGGAGATGAGCTGGGATACTACGACAATGGCTATTTTAAGTTACTTGTTGAGCCTGCCTTGACGGTAACATTAAATGGAGCTGGAAGTCTATCCATGTTAGGAGGATTTGAGTTTTTGGATCAGAATTGGTCGGCCTTTTGCCCACAGCTTTTGGCAATTGCTGAATATTGGCAGAATCTCACAGGCTGTCAATCCTACTCCATTTCATAAAAGTCTGACAGAACCGTATATGAGACTTTGGGTACTGCTCATTGGGTGGATCCATCCCTCTCTGCAGTATACAGAGTTAAGACCTTTCAGAGGTAACCCATGAGATCCAGATGTGGTCACACAAAGGAAACACCTCTATGTCAAAAGGGATGGCCATTTCCCAAGCAAGTTCATTTCAGTGTTGCATTCCCAGGAACACTGCCATTGTTTCTCCAGCTAGCTTTCTGGAGAGCTGCCTTGAAGGGCGTGTTTGTCCATCATAATGTGTGTCACAAACACTGACTGGCTAGTGCCTGTGACGTCATGGATGCTCTTTTACTTGCCACCCTTTTTCTGGGGCGTTCCACACATGAGGAAACATTTCTGTAAATATTTCAAAAGGAGACAGTGAAGAGATTAAAAGGGTGCAATCCCAACCAGGCTACGCTTCTTTGCCGCAATGCTCTGCCATTTTATCAACCCGTTCTTTTGCTCCGTGGCTCCATCTGTCGTTGCTGTTTTAAAAATGATTTTTATTGTACCTGTCAGTTATTTTCTGTATTGTATGATTCTAAGCCTCATCAATAAGGAGTTAGGGGATTGTTTTCATTGGGATAGCAGCACAAATAATAATATATCAAGCTTCTTGTTAAGTTACAGTCAGCCTTCCACATTCAAAGGGGTTCATGGCACAGGACACTGGTGAAAGTTTTTTTTTCCCCATGTCAGGAGTGACTTGAGAAACTGCAAGTCACTTCTGGTTTGAGAGAATTGGCCATCTGCAAGGATGTTGCCCAGGGGACGCCCGGATATTGTGATGTTTTACCATCCTTGTGGGACGCTTCTCTCATGTCCCTGTATGGGGAGCCGGAGCTGACAGAGGGAGCTCATCCGCACTTTCCCCAGATTCGAATTTACGACCTGTTAGTCTTCAGTCCTTCCCACACAAGGATTTAACCCAGTGGTTCTCAACCTGGGGTCCCCAGGTGTTTTTGGCCTTCAATTCCCAGAAATCCTAACAGCTGGTGAACTGGCTGGGATTTCTAGGAGTTGTAGGCCAACAACATCTGGGGACCCCAGGTTGAGAAACACTGATTTAACCCATTGTACCACCTGGGACTCCTGGTAAAATGAAAACCTGGGAATAAAAAAATGTCAGGTTTTTTTTACTTAAGACAGTGGTTCTCAACCTGTGGGTCCCCAAATGCTTTGGCCTTCAACTCCCAGAAATCCCAACAGCTTTAAACTGGCTGGGGTTTCTGGGAATTGTAGACCAAAACACCTGGGGACCCACAGGTTGAGAACCACCAACTTAAGAGAACACCTTGTTAGGAATTTCTTTGCCCTTTAGAACAACTCTGTGGTCAGTATCTGCTGGAAGCTGACGATAGAACCATACTGGAGAAACGAGAAATTCCTAGAGATTACATTTTAATTAAATGCACAAAGTCGGAGAAGGGTTTGGAAAGCATGCCACAGCATATCCGTGTTACTGTTGTTGGATAAGAACCAGACCTTAGGCAAAGTTGCTTTTTTAGACTGCAGTTTCCAGAATCCGCCCAACCAAAATGTCTTAGGGTCATGCTTGCTAAGGGATTGTGGCCACTGTAGCAACAAATTGTAATTTCTCTGAGCTCGTACAACTATAACACTAAAGAGGCAGTCTTTTTTCCTTTCATTTCCAGTTGTCCGGATGCCTGTTAGATAGCTGAACAATCCAGTTATGAGACGATTGTAGTTTTAGGAGATTCTTCCTTTCCATTTCTATTTTTTCTTCTCAACCGTCATTTACATTTTTTCACCCACAAATCCTGCAGTAATGCCTAGCTTCATAATTGCCATGGCTTCATTCAATGTGTATTAAAATTCAAAGAATTGCATGGAAGTGTGCTTGTGTGGTCATTTTTATGTCACAAGTGAAGCTGGAGATGTTAGTATTTTTGGGATGACATTTCAGGATAATGGAGAGGTAAGTGGAAAGGTAACCTTCGTGGAGGCTGTCACTGTTCAAGCCATGATGAGAAACGGGTAACAACAACGACAACAACAATGGTGATGATGATGAGTATTATGATTGAAGGGATGAGGGACATATCATCCTCCACAATAGTCATAATCCCTTGCTGCCAATGGCTATGCTGCCTAAACTGGTGGGAATTGCAGTTTCAGCCATAACTGGAGAACCATATATTCTGTAAATAATTTCTCTCAAAATGTTGAACTGTGGTTCCCAGTACCCTTAGCCACCAGGAGATGGAGGGCTGCATAATTCCCATAAGCTAATTCCTGCATAGGAGAAGATTCAGAACGTGTTACTATTTCAACAATGTAAAGCTTTCCATACTCACTGCAAAGTGTCATTTGATGTCAAGTCAACTTTCATTTACAGCAACCCTATCTCCAAGAGCCTCAGAGTGTCTGCATTGCTTAAGTCTTGCGAACTCAAGATCATGTTTTCCTTGGTTGAGTTAATCCATTTGTAGTATAGTCTCACATTTTCTATTTGCCTTATTTTCCTCTCACTCTAATCATATTTTCCAGTGAGCCATGTTGTCTCATGATATGTTCAAAGTATGATAGCTGGTGGCACAGTGGGTTAAACTGTTGAGCTGCAGAACTTGCTGACAGGAAGGACAGCAGTTTGAATCTGGGGAGCGAGGTGAGCTCCCGCTGTTAGCGCCAGCTTCTGCCAACCTAGCAGTTCAAAAACATGCAAATGTGAGTAAATCAATAGGCACCACTCTGGTGGGAAGGTAGCGATGGTACATGCAGTCATGCTTGCCACATGACCTTGGAGGTGTCTACGGACAACGCCAGTGATTCGGCTTAGAAATGGAGATGAGCACCACCACCCAGAGTCAGACACGACTAGACTTAATGTCAAGGGGAAACCTTTACATTTACTATGTTAACCTTAGTCATCTTTGCATCCTGTGAGAGTTCAGGCTTTGTTTATGTGGCTGCCACAAACGATGTTGAATTTGTTATGAGATATTCATTGAAAAACTATAGCAAAATGTGATTGGAAAATGACATTTATAATCCAGGAAAAAATCGTGTTACATAATGTTATGAGAGATGGGAGCAAGAATTCTTTGCAACAGGCAGCAATCCTTTTCCATCAGGCACTGACGTTATTGGAGTGTCAGGTTTAAAAAGAAAACTGGTTCTGAATGTCACTCCACCACCTTACACAAGGTTTAAATATTGAAGCGCCTTCCCCAAAAGTACCAACTTCTGTTCATTTAAAGTACATGGACCACTCGGATTGCATCATGTGTAGATTGTTGACTTCCAAAGTTTTGGGTAACTCATATTTGCAACTGCGGCCTGTTCATTGGGAATAAAAAAATATTCCCAAAGTTTTTTACTACTATATCACACTAGAAAAAAAAAATCCACTTAAAATCTGTTTGCTGCCTCCTGCAGAATTCTGGGATTTGTAGTTTAAGGAGGAGGCTTTAACAGCCTCACTAAACTACAAACCCCAGAATTCTACAGGAAGCAGAAACCAGATTTTAAGTGGATTTCTTCTCTAGTGTGATGAAGAAATTACAGGGTTGTCAAAGGCTTTCATGGCCGGAATCACTGGGTTGTTGTAGGGTTTTTTTGGGCTATATGGCCATGTTCTAGAGGCATTTTCTCCTGACGTTTCACCTGCATCTATGGCAAGCATCCTCCGAAGTAGTGAGGTTCTTCACCTCACTAACTCTGAGGATGCTTGTCATAGATGCAGGCGAAACGTCAGGAGAGAATGCCTCTAGACCATGGCCATATAGCCCGAAAAAACCTACAACAACCCAATTACAGGGTTCTTGTTCCTCTGTCTTTAAGCACAGAATTTCTTTTTGAAAGTTCAGCCATTTCTGTTGCTTCCTCTTGGCCCTAGAAGGAGATTATTTACCCATTTGTTCTTGAATAGTTTCTTTTTGCTGGCTACATGTTTTCACAATCACACATTTCCTCTGTTTTTGTTGTTTTTAATGGGGTCATTTATACTCAAATGTTAGCTAATGACCAAACACCATCCCTCAGTTGTAGTGTGCCTTCAGGTCATTTCTGACTATAGTGACCCTCTAACAGGGATTTCCTGGCAAGAGGTATTTTTTTTTGTCGTGTCAGAAGCAACCTGAGAAACTGCAAGTCGCTACTGGGGTGAGAGCATTGGCCGTCTAAGCAAGGACATTGCCCAGGGGATGCCCGGATGATTTGATGTTTTATCATCCTTGTGGGAGGCTTCTCTCATGTCCCCGCATGAGGAGCTGGAGCTGGTAGAGGGAGCTCATCCACCTCTCCTCGGATTCGAACCTGCGACCTGTTGGTCTTCAGTCCTGCCGGCACAAGGGTTTAACCCACTGCACCACCAGGAGCTCTGGCAAGGTTATCAGAAGTTTCCCATTGCCTAGTTTCCAACAGACCTCACTACCTCCGAGGATGCCTGCCATAGACGCGGGTGAAATGTCAGGAGAGAATGCTTCTGGAACATGGCCATATGGCCTGGAAAACTCACAGCAACCCAGTTTTTCCAGCCATGAAAGCCTTTGACAATACATTCAAGAGAAAGAACTTCTGATACAAAATGTAGGCCTATTACTCCAATAGTAGTAGTATTATTTTACTCCTGTATGATTTTAAAACTCTTGCCTGATGAAGAAGTCCGTGGAGCATCACAATCATGCACAATGTGTTTTGTGCTTTTGGGTTGTCTAAGAAAGCTATCGCTCTTTTCCTGGATTATGGATTTTTTTTAAAGTCTGCAAAATAGCTATATCCAGAATTTGCCTTTTATGGGAAATTTCCTTTTATCCCCAGCAGGGGAAGCTCGAATTCACATGTCACAATCACACGGAAACCATAGAGACAGATGTGACAACAGCCGAATGGAAGTTGTCAGCTCAGTGACCCCAGGAAATGAAAGGCACATGAAAGCGGATCTTGGGATATATGACTGCCTTTTGTTCGTGTGCTAAATGTTACTCTCATTGCCAAATTCTCCATGAAGACTGAAGAAAATGGAGATAGTTGGATTTTATTTTGAGGAATCAAAGCTCTTTCCCTTTTAGATTTTTGAATAAAAATGCAATAAAAGCATGTATTGTATGAAATGGATCCACTTTGTGATTACAGTTAAGGTTTAGAGTGCAACTGTATTGTACGAGGGTTGAATGAAAAGTAATGCCTCCACTTTCATTGCTTGGGTTTGGATGGGAATATTTTAATAAATCAAATGCAGAAATAATCCTTAGAATGTGCTCTTTAAGTACCACTATTCACTTTTCCACATAATCACCAGACAATTGGATGCATGTCTGCCAACAATGGACAAGTTTTCTGAAGCCGTCACGGAAGAAGTCAACACTCTGTTTCCGCAACCCATCGTGCAAAGATCTTCTGATAGCCACGCAAAGCAATAATGTGACCCACACATTCTTGTGAAATGCTGATTATGCTTGAAATTTCTCTCAGAGTGATACGACGATCGCCCTGAATCAATCTGTCAACCTTTTGCTTGTGAAACTTGGTGGTTGCTCTCAGAACATCCAACTCTTTGTTTGTCATGCAAGTCGGATGTTCCCACCTCAACATCACCCAACAACGCACAGTACTCACATCAACACAATCACCATAAACAGCTTGCATTCTCTGATGAATCTCCTTTGGGGTGACACCTTCAAGAATTCAATGACTGCACGTTGCTTAAGTCTGTGCAGGGTCCCATACTTCGCACTTTAACAACACAATCATTCAATGCTAAGGCTTCCTGCCAAAATGGAACTGTAGAGGAGAGTCTACTGAACAAGCCAGTACCTGCCACATACCAGTACTGCTATCTGTTGAGGAGTTACGAAGGTGGAGGCATTATTTTTCTTTCAACCCTCACAGAATTAATGCAGTTTCGCAACACTTTATCTGCTATGGAATCTTGGGAATTGTAAATTTACAAGGTCTTTAGAATTCTGTGCTAAGGAGTACTGGTGCCTTACCAAACTATAACTCCCATGATTCCATATTATTGCACTATGACAGTCGGTGGTGTAAAAATGCATTGATTCTAGAGTGTAGATCAGGCACGGCCAAACTTGGGCCCTCCAGGTGTTTTGGACTCCAACTCCCACAATTCCTAACAGTCTCGAGCCCTTTCCTTTTCCACCTCAGCTGCTTAAATGCTGTCCACAGCATTTTTAATCCATCTAAAACACAGATGTGTGCTTTTCACTTAAGAACAAACAAGCATCTTGAGCTCTGAGGATTACCTGGGAAGGAATCCCACTGAAGCATTGCAGCACACCCAAATACCAGGGAATTACAAGCAAAAAGTGGATGCTAGATATTGTTAGAGACTAACTGCTCCTCGTTGAGGACTTGAGACTTGGGCAGTGTGGGGTTGAATTCCAACAGAAATAATATCATATGAAAGCTGACGGGCACAACCTGGGGATCACAACCAGACACAGTGAAGACATCTGTCCTTGCGCTTTGCTATTCTACTACTGAGTATGCATGCCTAGTGTGAAATACATCTCACCATGTTAAAACAGTGGATGTGGCTCTTATTGAGAAATTCCGCATTATCACAGGATAATGCTAACTGGAGAAATTACACTATTTAGCCGGTATTGTACCACCTGATATCCGCTGGGAAGTAGTACTCAATAATGAAAGGACCATGGCAGTGACATCATCGACCTATCCTGTGTTTGGATATCAGCCAGCATGCCAATGCCTTAAATCAATAAATAGTTTTCTAAGATCTACAGAGACACTTGCAGGAACACCTCAGCAAGCGAGAGTCCAAAAGTGGCAGGCTAAAACCCAGCATCTCAATCCATGGCTAATACCAAATGAGAGACTTCCTCCTGGGCACACAGAAGACTGGGTGACTTG